CGATGGTCGCTCCACTCCTCCTACCCGCCCCGCCCGGGGCCGCGTTAACCCGTTCCTTCCCGGGAGACCGCAGCGGCGTGTGCGCGGGCACGCGTGCAGGTGTTCTTCAGCATTCCCGCGTGCACGTGTGCGTGCCCGTGGGCTCGATCACGTGTGCCCCCGCGTGTGCGGGTGGTGGGGGGGACGTGCCTGTGCGCCTGCGGACGGGGCCTGGCCTGCGTGTGCTTGCCCGCGTGCACGGGTGAGCGTGCGTGTGGCTGCGTTCTGCATCCGTGTGCGGGTGTGCGCGTGCACGTGCCATGTCCCCCATGGTCCCCGGGCCGGGGGGCACCTCCGTGACGCATCCCAGGTTCCTGTTCCCGGCAGCGGGGCGCGGCCCAGAGCCCCTGCCCTCCGGCCCCTCGCGAGCTGCAGACACGCGGGTCTGACCCGAGCCAGCACAACGGGGGCCCTGCTCACGCGCATCTGTCGCCAGGACAAGCCCCTTCAGCACAGGGAAACCCAGCCCCAAGCGGGTGTGGAGACCTTTGGGCAGGGCCGGCCGCCTGGCTGAGAGAACAGCCTCCTGTCCTCCAGCCCCCCGGGACCTCACACTCGTCACTGCGATGGGACAGGAGGCAAAGGCCGAGGAGGGGCCCGGCTGCCCCACAGGGAGGGCCTCGCTCCTGCAGGGACCGACTGGTCAGGGCTGGTGCGAGGTGCTAAGGCCAGATCCTGATCCACCGGATAGGGGCCCTGCTCACGTCCCCCAGAAACCGTTCCTGGGTCTTTTTGTGTGATGTGGTTTAAGGGGAAGGAAGGGGCAGTGTCCAGCAGCAACTCCGGTGCAGCCCTGGGGACAGGGGGGAAGTCCGGCCAGGACATGGCTGAGGAGGTCAAACCTTAAGAGGCCACAGCCATGACAGAGCCCAGTTCCTCTTGGACTGTTGCATCTCCATGAGGAAGGATAAAGCCAGGAGCTGCTGCCTTTTGTTTCTGTCTCACTGGTTCAGACTCCCCATAGCCCCAGGGCTGGTGAGCAAGGAGATAGTGGGGGGTGACTTAGAGCCCAGCTCTCTAGGCCGTTCCAGGTAGCCCAGCCCCGACCTGGGAGCACGGGAAGCTGAGCTGAACGGAGCGGGCATGGCCGGTGACGTCCATGAGAAGCAAGCGACCGTGCGGAGGATGGAAAGGCCCTCCCTGGTGTGCAGCTCCACAGCCCCTGCACTTCTGTCCAGCCAAGGACACAGTGAGGAGAACATGGGTTTGACCTGGAGGGAGGTCTCAGGTCTGTGATACCAATGTCCATGGCACTGGGCCCCCCAGAGTAGTTCATGCGGGAACCATTTCTCCTCATGGCCTCCATGGAGCCCGACACCCCAGAGGCAGGAGGGCAGCTCCCTGGGGCCTAAGGGGAGGGAGCCTTTCCCTTCCCCCACTGGGGTCTGCCCTGATGGTGACAGGACAAACCACCCCAGCCATGGGCAGAGGGGTCGAGTCCCCAGACCAGGGCTGCGCAGCCTAAACCCCAGGGCTGGGGGGCAACTACCACAACTGCCCCTTTGGAAGGAACCATTGTTGGGGGGGAGAGGGGGGGAGTTCCACCCCCAGGGGAGCCAGTCTGGGGTATTATTTTCCCCTCCTCTAAAGACATTATAAATAAACCCCTTCCGCTCACATAGTGCCTCCCTTTCACCCTTGAGGAATTAAACATACTTAAGTGTTGGGGCACTTTCCCAATCTCCTGCCCCCCCCCAAATTAAAACCCCCCCCCGGCGGGGGGGGGGGGGGGGGGGAGTGATGTCTCCAGGAGACACATGGGCCCAGGGTGCTCCACCCCAGAGCCAGCATCCTGGAGGGGCAGGGGCAGAAGGGAACTGGACTTCTGCTTCTTCCAGGCTGAGGACAGCAGGGCTGGCATAATGCAGGGGTGGGCACCTATTTGGGCTAAAGGGCCACTTAAGTTTTGGTGAGCTGTTGAGGGCCATGCACATAAAAATCTTTCAGAAGACATCATTGTAACAAATTATAGATAAAGAGTAAATCTTATACTAAAAATCAAACAACTACTGTAAAATATTTTAATTTTATTTCAAAAAATATTTTGTGTCCTGATTTATGTTTTTTTTAGTGTATATATAAGTGATTGCATGAAGGCTCAAAACAAGTCTTACTCTTGTATATTGAAAAAATAGGTTAAAGAAAAACAAACTCACTCAATGGGAGGGATGAAGAGGGACCTACTGAAATTGTGATTTTTGTGGAAACTGTGATTTCAGGTAGGCTCTGTAAAAAATGGTGGGCTCTGATTTTGGCAGGCTTGCAGGTCCCAGCCCATCCTGCTCGGGCTCTTTGGCCAGATGTGTGGGGAGTTTGTGCCATGCCCAGCATGTGAAAATAGTGGCCAGCCTTGCAATCTGACCACAAAATCAGCCAGCCACATCCTTGAGTTCAGTAGACCCCTAAGAATGAAGTCTTGAATGTGAATCAACCAAAGAATCAAAGTCCGGCATCATCTCTGTTGTTGCTATGCGGACCATTCCTGCAAATTGGTCATCGCTCACTGAAAACCTGAGATTTGATTTACTGACTTTCATCACAGAAAATGTCTGCTCACATATGTACATTGATCCAAACACCACAAGCATCTTCTGGGCATGAGCCTTGATCTTTGGAAAGTTCTGTTCATTGAGAGATGCATAAAACCTAGGAAGCGGCACTGATTTGAATTGCTGTACAAGCAATGCATCACACTGCAGGTCAATGAGCTCAAGTTGGAGCTCAGATGGAGCATTGTCAACATCAAAGGTAAAAGGTGAGGAGACCAGAGACAGGTCATTTTCTATCATTCGAAAATCCTCAAATTGGCGAGACAATTCAGCATGCAAGTTGAGTAGTGACGACATGTACCTTTCCAGGTTTTGATCACAAACAGTTACCTGCTGCAATGTAGGAAAATTGCTGAACTCCTTGTTTCCTATCTGATGGGAGAAAAGGAGTAACTTCATCATAAATGACTTCACACTAAAATGCAACTCATGAGCAAAAAGCCCCTTCCTGTGTAGTCTTGAATTCAGATCATTCATGAGGCTCACAATATCAACAGCAAATGCAAACTCAGAGAGCCAATCTGCATCATTCAGCTGTGGGAAAGCTGAATCTTTTTCTTCTAAGTTCAAAAACAAACCAATCTCAGCTCTCAGTTTCCATACACTTTTCAAAACTTTACCCAAGCTAAGCCATCTTACATTGGTATGATACAGGACATCTGTGTGCTCAGATTCAGATTCCTCAAGCAGACGTACAAACTGTCTGTGGTTTAATCCTTTTACTCAAATGTAGTTAACCAGTTTTGTAACTGTGTCCATGACAGTGCTCAGTTTTAGAACACTTCTGTAGAGGGCCTCTTGATGAATACTGCAATGCAAAAAAATAATGTTCTGTTCTGGATTTGTTTCTTTGACTTGGTCTTGAATACTTTTCAGCAATCCAGTGTGTTTGTCTGTCAAGTTTGGATTTGTGTTGATAGTCACACTCACCAATTTTTTCCAATCCACTTCTAATTTTGACATGCATTGATTTACTGCCTCCAATAAATCTTTTCCAGTTGTTGTGCCTTCCATGGACTGTACTGATGCCAGTTCTTCTGTGAGCTCAAAATTTTTGCTGATACCACGAATAAACATCAAGAAATGGGCTGGGTCCTTGACACCACAACTTTCCTGGAGTGCCAATGCAAAATATGAGAAATTGTTGACCTTCCTCTTCAACTGCAGGTCCAGGTTCTTAGAGATATCCTCGACATGTCTCTCAATAGTTTGCCTTGACAAGCAAATGTTCTCAAACAGCTTGTTCTTTTCTGGGCACAAAATTGCGGCAGAGACAACCAGACATTCTTTTATAAATTCTCCTTCAGAGAATGGTTTGCTGTTCTTGACGATTGTGTGTGCAATCTCATAGCTTGTTCTCATAATTCCATCTTGTGCCGATTCCATCCTGTACCTTGTTTGCTCTTTCTGCATTCCAGCAACCATCTCCTCAGTTTTCTTTGCTTTTTCTTTGGCAGACAAGTTCTTATATTTGGATGCATGCTTGCTTTCAAAATGCCGATTCAAATTGTATTCTTTGAACACTGCCATGCTTTCTTTGCAAATTAAGCACACAGGTTTTCCACCCACATCAATAAAAAAATATTTAGAAGTCCATTCTTTGTTGAATATTCGGCATTCAGCATCCACTTTCCTCTTCTTTGATGAGCTCATTTTATTCTCCTGTGCAGTAGTGATATTATATATATATATATATATATATATATTAGGGATGTAAATATCACTTTAAAGACTACCTGTTTAAACCCGTCTAGTTATATCAGTTAACAGTGACTGATATAATACATACCTACCAGTCAGATCCTGTTCTCTCTCCCTGTCAGCCTCTGTGGTGTTCTCTGCTCAGTTTTCCCTCTTAGCACTCTTGTTATGAAGTACTTTGACCTCCACTCCTGTCCCTATTTTCATTATTAGTTGTCCCTAGCATTCAGTAACACATCACTAGAAGCTGCCAGTACTAAAGGGGGCTTATCATTTACTTGGCGGGCCTGGCCCAGAAAATCCCCTACGTGTTAAAAGTCCTGTCAGCCTCTGCTGCCTGTTGCTGTGGGGCACAGGAGCAAGGGCAGGAGGGACCTGGGGTCTGAGCCAGCCTTATGCTCCGAAGACGTTGCAGAAGCCAGGTTCCCAAAGGGACTGGCCACGTTCTTGGAGGAAAGGAGTGTATGTGGCTATGGAGCCTGGATGTGGGGGCAACCAGAGCTTTCTGCCCCTTAGTGCTTCCCCGTCCAGCAGTGGCGTTCAAGTCCATTCATAATCCCAAATGATCAGACCCTGAGGCTGGCAGTGACCAAGGACAAGTGCAGAAACCCCCTCCAGCATCACCCTCATGCCCAGCAGCTCCACGGTACAGCCCTCTGCCCCAGGCTGCTGCTGCCTCTGTGGCCCTGAGACCAGGGCTGGGCTGCATCTCAGGGTAGATAAAAATCATTGATTTAAAAAAAAAAAAAATTAAAAATTAGATTTTATTTAATTTGTTTTACTTAAAAAAACAATTAAGATGCTCTTTAAAAAAATAAACCTATATAAAAATAGTTTTAATTTAAGATGCGTTAAAGCTCAAAGATATCATCGTGGAATAGGGATTATAATGTCTAATTATATACTATTTGAGACAATATAGTCATGTAAGCTTTTTAGAAAACATTTATAAATAGGTCACAACAGACTATATTAGGGGCCCAATGTTATGCAGTTGCCAGAGACTCCTCTATAGATTAAAGAAAATTGCTTTACCCAATGGACCCAGTGCTGGGTTTAGATCAGTGGCTCTCAACCCTTTTTGCACTAGGACCCATTTGTAAACATTGACAGCCAGTCCCAACCCGCTGCCCCCAGCCCCCCATCGTGTGGGACGGGGCTGGGTGTGTGGGGCAGGGTAGGGCATGTGTAGGGGCCCAAGCAGCCCCTTGCAGGCTGCAAAGGCTTTCCTATGGCTTCCTATATTTTTCTCCTTTAAAGGAGAGTCCATTTTTAAAGTTTGTTATTGACCCTTTCATATATCCTTGCGACACACTTTTGGGTCACGACCCACAAGCTGAGAAACATGAAGCTCCCATTAAACGTCTAGACTGAAGATCCCACTGAACATCTCTGTGGTGATGCTTAGTTTCAGTTCTCAAACAGTAGCTTTGCGTCTCCAGAGATAACATCCTTGTTAACAGCACTATATGGAGAGGGGAGATAACAGACCTGATTAGCCCATCAGCGCCCGCATCTTTGCAACTCTGTACAGAGTCAAGCGCTTACCTCTCTCTAAAAGTGCAAAGTTTTAAGAAGTTAAATGAATGGAGGTCATCGAGCGCGCTCTTTTTGTAGAAAACAATGATTCAATCGAGGCTTCCCGACCAGTGGTTAAATCAAACCCAGCCTGCTGTCTTCGCTGGGAAAGACACTCCGTCGCCCGCCCAGGCGCCAAGGAATCGCCCCCCCCGCCCGGCACCCAGGTGCGGCCCCGGCGCCAACACGTTCGAGCTGCACGTGGGCGGCAGAGAGAGGCGGCAGCACAGGCCACGCACGGGGCCGAAGCTGCTGCGCGGCCCCCGCATACCCACACCTGATCCTGCAGGGTCTCGTCGAGAGCGGCCCCCTGCTTCCTGCTCCCGGTTCCAGCGCCTCGGCTCTGCGGCTGCCCAGGGGGCCGCGACCATAGAGCCGCGGGCGCTCCCTCCCCCCCC